TATGAAGAATTGATCTGGCATGTGTCAACTCAACAGTATTATGTATAAGCAGGTACAAAAGTGATTCTCAAGACTGTATTCATGGAGTAGCTGTGCTGAAACTTGTAGCAGTTTGCAAAAAAAGGTAAAATGCATCAATTCTGGGTGAACTAAGTCTATGGGTACCTGTAGTAATTTCCTATATTCAAATTAGAACAAATATGTTTATTTAAAATTCAGTGTTTTCAAATTTACCCCTCATTTCCATGTGCTCAAGGACAGCGGGGTCTGACAGTACGGGAGGGAGAGGGAGCCATGGGAAAAGAAGTTGGGGAGCAGAGGACAAGACAAGGGGCCATTCTTCCCTCCTTCCCCCACCCCCACCCCAATTTATTTTCCTTGCTGTAGCAGTGGGAAGGGGACAAATTCAAAGCAAACCTCCAATAGATTCTGTACCTGGAAAGTTATAACAAATATATAATTTTTTCTTTATATAGAATGTAAATATTCAACATTGTCCTATATTCAAATAAATACAGTAATTCATTCAGACAGTACGAGATCCAGCTTGCCTTTGTCAACACGTAAGGGTCAAAACTAGAGCAGCTTTATTGGCTGCTGAATCAGGGCTATTTATTAATATAGACAGGCCTTAGAAGAGGTTATTTTTTTCCACTCCGGTTCTTTTTAGGCAGGAACAACTCTGCGGAAAACTCCTGGTGGGAGAAGTTCTCTCACCTTGTTGAATGACCATATCTGAACGCTTTATTTGGCTCCTTCGATTTGCTTTAATTCATGGTAGAGGCTGGGTAGGCATGCATATGACCTGAAAAATGAAGATCACTAAGGGAACAATTTCTTCCCTGTTTCAGCACAAGAACAGGGTAGTGAAGATGCTGGAATGGCCAGTGAGTCTTTGGTATTCATTCATTATAAAACTCTCTGGGCACGTCTACATGAGGCAGTTTACTGTGCATCAGACTAATTTGCTGTGCAGTAAAGCATCACTATATACACATTTGCAGCAATTAGGGGACAGTAGATTAATTTACTGCACTGCCAGATAGTTCTGTCAGATACACAGGTACCTGGCAGTGCAGCAAATTACTGCACTTAAACACACATGTAGATGGTGATGTCAGGATTAATTCAATTCAGTCACAGTAATTATATGTGTAGATGCACCCACCTCTGGAGAGGACATTTTGGAGACTGCCACTATTACTTTAGCCCTTAGGTTGCAGTATCAGCACTACTGCCCCACATCCAGGGGAAAGATTCTGTTTTACCACCCAGCTCTGCTAGAAAGACCCACCCCCACTCAAAACTTGTTTATTCAGGCTTTGAGCATGTGTTAAGAGTTGGGCCCTCAGGACTTAATCAAGCAAAGCACCTACTGAAGGCAATGGAGATTTTGCCTGAGCAAGATTTACAGATTTGGGCCTTTTCTTCAAACTTTTAAAGTGCTCTAAGCCTCAATCTTTAGGGAGGCTGAATAGGTCTGTGCAGATGGAAGTCTGCTCCTTCTTTTCTTGTGGTAAAATTTAAAAAAGGAGAAGCTCATACATCATAAAATGTGACAATTCCCTCAGTAGTTCTTTTGGGGCTCCTTCTACCAAAGAGTTGTAGCGCTGCCAGGCAAAAAGAGAAGTAGCCTTAATCACCCAAACCATAGGCAAACACTGTATCTTTTTGTGAATCAAGTTTAAATAGAAGTTATACAGGAAGGACCAAGTCAGAAACCACTTTTTCCAGATGTAAGAAAGATTGAAACACACGTGCAGAAAAAAGCAGCATTGCTAACTTTTAGTTTGGTAGGTGAAGAACTAATACTGTAAAGAAAATGTTTGCTTAGTGCTGCTGAGTCCACTATAGAGTATAATACTGGTCAAGCAGAACTTTCAGAGATTTCTCAAACATGCTGTTGTTTGAGAAGCAAAAACTACATGAGGAGAAGGGGGAAAATCAGAACTTGAACTCAAGGTTTTATTTACTGAGATAAAGATTGAAGAAATAGATAGGGATATAGTAAATGGTCCTGAAATATGTTTCTTGTTATAAATAACCATGTTGCCAGCACTTAAATAGAAAAAAAAAAACCTAAAATCCCTGTTCATAGTCACAAGGGAGCAATACCATCACAGTAATATCTGCTGATGCAGCTGAACTAGGCTTAAGACATCTGCTGAGATGAAACTACTTTGTGGCTGGAGGTATTAAAAAAAAAGTTACTGCAACAAAAAAGTCCGTGTGTGAAAACAAAACCACACCAACATTTCATAGAACTTGCACTTCTAAAACCATGTGCTACACTTATCCTTTCAATCTGGCTACTTAAAAGTGAAGTGAAATGTTTAAGAAATATTTATAAATGAGTAAGAACCAATAAAACTCCCAAAACCCAAACCATGACTAAACTCTCAAATCACTAAGAGAATGTAAGAATTATAGATAAATATACATTAACATTTCTTTCTTTGAAAATGGATGCCGGTTTCACTCTGCTGGCAAAGCTTAAATTCAGGCACTCTAAATTATGTGTCCTTTTCCCTGCTACAATCATTATCACCTTAATCTATGAGAGTAATAGAGCTCCCTGCAGCGCTTCAGTTTCTAGCTATGTCATCAGCTGTAGTCAGGGAAACACAGAACACAGACAGCCCAAACTCAAGCACTGTCCACATGTAAAGCAGTTTAAACAAAGGTGTGTTTTTAACCCAACACAGTAAACTTGAGATAGATTTGTGTACACATGCTTATTTTGGTTTATGAGTGGCCTACATTACTTTATCTTAAATTGATTCCTTAATAACTTAAGATAAACCAATCTGAGCCACTCAAACTAAAAGAACAGTGGTTACTTGGTGCTTCACACTAATTTAACTAAACAGTTTAAAAGTCAATTTAAGTTTAACGTGTAAAGAATCTGTACATAGTCAATGCCTTGGCTTCCACTTCACTCTTGCAATTTATATATTTCTCTCCACCTACTCTGTTGCAGAAATTAGAAGTCAGGCTACTTTTTATTTTAATTTTATCATAAGCATTTTAAATGTGCCTTTAAAACAGCGCAGCTTGTTTATTTGTCTTGGATCAGAGCCCCATCCAACATATAACAGGCAGGCAGTTACTGTATATTTTTTCTTACCTCTAAACATATGATTTTGGAATACTAGAAAATAGGGAATAAATCTCCCCACTCTACCACTTCAAGCTCTCATTCAAAATACAACCATCTTTTAGTCTCTCCTTCCTCCTCTCCTCCATGCCTCCCCTCTTTTCTCTTCACCTCCTAAGATTCAGTTCAGCTTCCCACCTTGCTTCCCACCTCTTCCCCTACACAAATACTTTTGTCACAGATGCCTCTAAATACCTAGTCCTATAGTCTTGTCACAAGCTCTACTCTATGCTCATCCTCCTGGGCTGCAACAATGGGCACGTCTACATGTGATGCTACATCACCATTGCAAAGCACTATGGTGACATAGCATCAGTGGTCACAAACAGTGGCCACAATGTGCATCTGCAGGGCCCCAGCAGGGAGAGGAGAGTGGGATGGGGCTGTGGGCAGCTTGTCTGGAGGGTGGGATGGGGAACGGGTCTAGCTCTCCAGCTCTGCACGTAATCCCGAGGGGGAATCTGTGCATAAGGCAGGGGTGGGGGCAGGTGTGGGCTGCAGTCTCAAGCTCCCACCCTGCTGCTCTACCCCAGGGCCTCTGCAGCCCAGTGGGCATGACCCAGTACAGTAGGGAACAGTGGGACAACATGGAGATGCTGCCTGCCAATGAGTCCAGTGTGTGTGGGGAAGCTTTGATTGGCACAGCCCCATCCTGCCGCCCTCACTGCAGCCACACGTGCAGGAGGGGCATTGCCAGGGCAGCATGGAGCGAGCAGCAGCAGGCAGCTTTTCTGCATGGGCCTGCTGTTCCCTGCTGTGCCAGGTCATGCCCGCTGGGCTGCAGAAACCCCGAGGTAGGGCAGCAGGGCAGGAGCCCTGCACAAAGAGCCCCGCACAAAGAGCTGGGGCATGGGTCTTCCCTGTCCTCCAGGGAGTGTGTGGAGCACTAGGAAGCTGGCCCCACTCCACTGCCAGAGCACACAGCCTGCCCCATGCTCAGATCTGGGGGGCACAGGTGCCCCCTGCCCCCTGGGGAGTACATGCAGCAGTGGGGAGCTGGCCTCCCCTGCCCGAGCCCACAGCAGGCAGGCAGCAGGGAAAAGCTGGGCTCCACCCTGCTGCAGCAGCCACAGCCTCCTGCCTTCTTCTAATTTATGACTATTGCTCCTGGTTTTCACCTGGGGCATTGTGGTGAATAGTTATTCACCTAGCCCCTGATGCTCTCCCCTAATATATTTGTAAGCTGCCACCAATTTCCCCCATGTCTTCTCTTTTCTAGCCTGAACAGTCCCATATCTGAAAGCTTTTCCTCATATGACTTGCTCTTCAGGCCTCTAATCATATGAGTGGCTCCTTCTCTGGACTCTCTCCAGGTTTTCCACATCTTTTTTGAAGTGTGGCACCCAGAACTGGATGCAGTACTCCAGCTGTGGACTCACCAATGCTGAGTACAGTGGGAGAATAACTTCCTTAGTTTTGCTTGAGATGCATCAGTTGATGCATGCCAGCATGAAGTTTGCTCTACTACCTGTAGCATCACACAGGTGGTTCATTTTATGGTCAGTTATGACCCCCAGGTCCCTTTTGGATGTGGTACTAGCTAGTGTGGCACCACTGACCCTGTACATTTGCTGAGGATTTTTCCTCCCCAGACGGAGCATTTTACACTTCTCAGTGTTGAACAGCATCTGGTTTGGGTCTGCCCACCTAACTAATCTGTCTAGGTCCACCTGGATAGTCAGCCTACCCTGATACATGGCTGTACTTCCCCAAATCTTAGTGTCATTGGCAAAATCTGGCAGTGTGCTTTTCACCTCCACATCCAGATCATTGATGTAGATATGGAAAAGCACTGGTCCAAATACCGAACCACGTGGGACCCCACTGGCCACCTTCTGCCAGGTCAACACAGATCCGCCTATTAGTACTCTCTGGGTTTGACCCTGCCACCAGTTTTCCACCCATCTTATCATTGAATGGTTGAGCCCATAGTCCCCTAGTTTTACCTTGAGAGCCTCATAAGACACCAAATCAAAGGCCTTCCTAAAGTCCACGTAAATGATGTCGACCCTATTTCCCTTATCCAGGTAGTGAATAATCTGGCTGTAGAAGGAAATGAGGTTATAGTTGCATAGTTGGTAGGTTCGGAAGGGACCTGAGCAGATCATCAAGTCCGACCCCCTGCCATGGGCAGGAAAGAATGCTGGGGTCA